AGATCATGCATTTTAGCCATGCCTCATTTCGCTCTATGTGCTGTTTGCTGTCTACGGGTCTGATTCTGCTGACCACGCCCCCCTGCAGGAGAGGGGAGACGTGCTCTGATCAGCTGCTGGGCTGTCAGAAGAGGGGGAGAAAAAGAGATCTCCGTCCTCCGTGTTATTATAGGCCTATAGAGTCGTTATTCATTTGTTTTAAAGCTCAATAAATAACAAAGAAGACCTTTGACCGGCACTTTTCTAATTTTGTCCGGAAGATTTAAACTTTAACGGACATCTTGACCGGCGAAAGAAACTGAAACTGAAACTCTGCCGTACGGTCCCCTCGTTCCTTGGAAGAGGCGGAGAGGTGGGTGTTTGTCATCTGCTGGTGGACTAACCGGAGAGAATTACAGTGCTTGCCTCGACGGGGAGGGATTGCATTGAATTAAAGCAGCGGGAGCAAACGCTTGCCTCGGGGAGGGAGAAAAAAAAGCCACAGCGGAGAATAAACAGAAGGGTAACCATGGTAACTATGGGCGGGAAGTCTTCTTCGCTGCTTTTGTGGCAGACTACAGCGCCACTTACAGGCCTGGCATATGTACTACAGCGTCTCCAGCGCTTTCGAGCGGCAATGGCCGGCCGTGGCCCAACCCCACATTTCCCTGATTGGTGGAGTTGGCCCAATAGCCGTAGCGCCACCGTCCTGGTGTCAGGACAGTGTTCAAATCTGGATCAGTTTTTATCAGATCCGTTGCAGCCCCTTTTTTAGAGATTTGGGTATGGAGGAAAATAGAGAGGGTTGTGTTTTCTGACACTTGGTGAGTTCCCTGGAACACCGGGGACACATATTCATGTAGAAAAGACGTACACAAGTGCATTTTGCATGATAGGTCCCCTTTAATATGCAGTATATTTTTTGTATATTTTTGTGTTTGCTTCCTCCTGCTCCCTTTCGGACACATACTGTATGATTTATTATTATTATTAATATGAAGATATTATTAAGATAAGATAAGATAAGATGTTACTTTATTGATTGAACATTTTAGTTTAGAATGTGCTATCCCACGGTAATTCAGAAGGCTCACAGGTCACATTCCGACCATTATTTAAAACAATAGGTGCTTTCATAATAATGATGAGAAACTATGAAATAAGAAATGACCAAATTAAAATGTAATTATCATATCATATATTATATAGTGTATTGTATTATTAAGTAATATCATACATTAACCCCATTATAGCAGATGCCACATTGAATGGATGAACACATTTATGCATCAATAATTACAACAGAGTATTTCTAAATACAAGTTGTAAAAATACTTATATGTATTTAATACTAATAACATAATGATTAATTTCAGATGATAATACTTTTCAGTGTCTGTCTCATGCAGCAGCTGATCCAGTAATGAGTGACCCGGCCGACAGTAAAAATAAACATTTATAACTAGTTTAGGTAGTTTGAGAGGTAATTAAAATAGCTAAGGGTGATGATCTGACTTTAAGTGTGTGTTTTGCTCCTCCCGCTGCATCACAGCATATACTGTGTATATCACCATTCTTTAATTCAATGTTTGATAAGTGCATGCAGATCACAGTACAGTAAAACATGTACACAGATACACTATTTTGTATTTGTATTAAATTTGACAATGTCAATTTCACTTTCCACTATGTACAGGTATCTTGGGTCAGTCTTGTCTTCCAAAAATCAGGAAGTAAAGTCCCCTGGTTTGTGACAAGATGTGAAGTCAACAGATAGTCACTCAGAGGGGGGTACTATTTATTTTCAAATGCATATAGGCTATGCCACCATTTACATGTAGGCTACACTGCTCTTCCAGTCAAGAATTTGAATTTGAATGGGATGGGGAGACGTGTGTGATTAAAAATGAGTGACCAAACTAAGACTTAGTTTTTCAAAAGAGAAAATGCAGATATTACACTCAGAAAATAAATGGTAGACATATCAGTACTCTTAGTGCCAAGTTGAAAGAGAATTCACTGCTCTAAACAAAGTCAAAAATCAACATACAGTAGGGGGGTGGGGGATGGTGAACGGTATGGTCAATGTTTGTAAACACAATCCCCAGGATGTGTTCTAATCAAAGCATGGTCGTCATGGTTGCCCTTCTGTTTATTCACCGTGGTGGGGGCCGAGGGAACCGGGCAGAGTTTTTCGCCGGTCAACGTGTGTTAAAGTTTAAATCTTCCGGACAAAATTATAAAAGTGCCGGTCAAAGGTCTTCTTTGTTATTTATTGAGCTTTAAAACAAATGAATAACGACTATATAATAATAAAATACACGGAGCCTGGCCTCTCTTTTTCCTCCCTCTCTTCTGACAGCGTCAGTGTCTGTCTCATGCAGCAGCTGATCCAGTAATGAGTGACCCGGCCGACAGTAAAAATAAACATTTATAACTAGTTTAGGTAGTTTGAGAGGTAATTAAAATAGCTAAGGGTGATGATCTGACTTGAAGTGTGTGTTTTGCTCCTCCCGCTGCATCACAGCATATACTGTGTATATCACCATTCTTTAATTCAATGTTTGATAAGTGCATGCAGATCACAGTACAGTAAAACACGTACACAGATACATTATTATTGTCTGAGACAACTTGGCACTAAGAGTACTGATATGTCTACCATTTCTTTTATGAGTGTAATATCTGCATTTTCTCTTTTGGTTTGATTAGGACACATCCTGGGGATTTCAGAATGGTACTGGGTGTTGATTTATTCTATTGGCTTCATATCGCAATATATTCCAGAAGTCTGAAATGCAAAAAATGTCCCACATTAGGGCAATTCACCCTACTTAACCCCAAATAAAAGAACCCAATAAAAAGAGTTGTTAAATAATAGTGAAGTCACGTTGTAATAACAATAACTCATCTCTCGGTTTGAGTGTTCTTTTTCTGCTTTGCCAAAAGCCACTGTGTCAAGTGTCTCGTGACTATTTTTCTCAGCGGATGCATGTCAATTTAAATCAATACATACAACTATTTTTTAAATCAATAAAAACATTTTCTAAATCCATAAAAGCATTTCAATTAATATTGGGAGTCATGTCGTTACTTTGTTGAGAATGTGGCCATGTAATAAGCGGGATAATTTGCAGCGACTTGGTCATTATGGGAAAAATAACACCCAGGGATCAAGATCTGCCTGACGAGGCTCCATTCAAATATAAATATTTTCAGTGAATTACTGAGTTTAGGCACGTTAATAACGTTTTAATGAAGTTGAATACAGAATATTCATATTTGTCAGTGCTTTCATGATAATTCGGCGAACATAAACATAAATGATCGTGGTGAAGATGATGATTAAATTAGGATTAAAAATCGAGTGCCGGGCTGCATTTCCTGTCGTTCGTTTTTTTCGACTAAACAACATTATTTTGTTAAATAACAACATGGTGATGTTTTGTAAATGATTACATGTCTCTTATTTAGCACAGACTATGATCCTATCCGTGACATATGGATCTTAACAAAGATCCGCTATACAGTAGTACCAGACATACTGTACATCCAGCGTACTGTATCAAAGTTGATTTCACATGAGCTCCAGTGTGGAACCCCACTGCACCCCCTGGTGGATCAATGATCCATTGCAGCTGGCTTCATTATAATTAAATGTATTTATCACGGGGGCGGTATCAAGTCAAGCTGGAGGTTGTCTCTTGATCGAGGGTAGACCCCGTGCCGACCACGGCCCTCGCGTTTCAAACTGTCCTAAATTAGGTGCTACATCTGTAGATCACAACGGTTGCTGCCTTACACAATCAAACCTCCAGTTATGAAATCTCTGGCTAATACAGCGGGTTAAATGAGACTTTATCTCTGTTCCAACACTCACCTATGAAGAGAGAGAAGAGTAACCAGAGGTAAAGCAACATGTCTTTGGAGATGGTAAAGTCGAACAGTCAGCAGATGAGTTCTCCTCCTGCAGAAGTGAAGCAGGAAACAGCCTCTCTGCTGCTCAGCCCTTCTCCTCAACATCAGATGATTGTGCTTTTAGTTCCTCAAACATCTCACAAATCATCTCATTGGTTGATATAAACGTCAGTGGGCGGGGCCAGAGAATCATGTTTTACTCGTTTTAAACCATCAAAGTACTTTTCTCATATTTAAAACATTTAGTTCTCTTTGTGTTTCTCACTGACACATACAATGAAATGTACAAAAACTTAGCAATTACAATGACGGGCGTTAACGTGAAGTCAGATTAGTGAGAGGTGTTTCATCTAGAGAGAAATCTGCTTAAAAATATCTTAATCTAATCAGAATATTGATCACAGGTGTCATTTAAAAGGTCTTGAACACCACGACACAAGGTGCTGTTCCAATAGAACCTATTATCACATTGTGCTTAGAGATAAACTGAATCCAATGACAAAATGAGAGTACCTAAGATTGAACCCTGTGGTACACCACATCAAATCACAGACTGACAGAAAAATAGAGACACTCATTTTAAGTTCATTAAGACTACTTAATTGGATTTTAACCTGTGATGAAAGGCCAGATTCACTGACTGAGTTAATTATTTGAACCTGTGGATATGAATCAAAGGCAGTCCATGTGTTTGTATAGTGTGCAGCTGCTCCTCACCTGTGGAATACCCTCCCAGACCACCTGAGGACTCCACAGACCACTGACGCCTTCAGGAAAGGCCTAAAACCTTTCTTTTAAAAAAAGCTTTTGATTAAACTTTTGTTTCTTTTGTTTGTTTTTGTTATGCCTCCTGTAGCACCTTGGGATTGCTGTTAGCAATGAAAGGTGCTTTACAAATCAAATGTATTATTATTATTATTATTAGTAGGGAACAATTGTTCATAAATTTCAAATCATCAAGCAGGTAAATGACATTACTGTATCATCACAAACTATTGATGTTTATCAGAGAGAGACTCCCTCTGGTGGATGCTGTGCAGTATTGTGTTGTCTTTGCTCCAAAGGTTTTTGTACAGAGTGTAGGTGTTTCCTGTCACTGTGGGCCTCAGAGCACAGTAGTACACAGCAGAGTCTGTCACTGCAGCAGAGGAGATCTGCAGATCCACTCGTTTCTTTCCTTCAGACAGGTCAGTGAAGAACCTGGTGTCCGATTTAAGTGATTCTACTTTGTTTGTGAAATTAATCCCTGAGATAGACAGGAGGAACTCTGGTGGTTCTCCTGGATATTGTCGATACCAGAAGAAATAATCAGTTCCAGCTGCTTGTTTGGAGTATCTGTAGGACAGAGTAACAGTGCTGCCTTCTGGACTGAACTCTTCTGTTTTGACTGGAGACAGATCTTCACAGCTGACGCCTGAGGGAAAGATTAACTCTGTTATTTCATGTTATAAAAGTTATTTTAGCAAAACCACACTCAGAAAGCAAGAGTGCAACAAACCTGATAAAATTGCAGACAATATCAGAGAAAAAGCTGAGTTCTGCAGGGAGAGCATGTTGAATGAAGGTGATGATGATGGTCTGTGTTGAACTCTGGTGAATATGGAAGTTCCTCTCTCTTCTATAGTTCAGGAACATCTTAGCTCCTCCCTGAATCTCTCTGTCTCCTCTTAGATCTGTATTTCACTTCTCTCAGTTACACTTCCTCCTGGGTAACAGATCCAAAGGCAGTCTGTAAATAAAAAGTCAGAGGACCTATTGAACCCTGTGGTACACCACAATAAATCACAGACCAACAGATAATTGTGTTTTATAAAGATAAGAACAAAAGCAATCAAAACTTGAGTGTGTGATGTGTACCAGTTTATTGAGAGAGGTGATTTAAAGTGTTTGATCAGTCAGCAAATAAAAACGTAATAATAACAATGACGGGCGTTAACGTGAAGTCAGATTAGTGAGAGGTGCTTCATCGAGAGAGAAATCTGTTTAAAATGATGTTAATCTATTACAAATATTTCTTCAGATCCAACATTTAAAAGGTCTTGAACACCACAACACAAGCTGCTGTTCCAATAGAACCTTTCATCAAATTGGGCTTGGAGATAAACTGAATCCAATGACAAAGTGAGAGGACCTAGGATTGAACCCTGTGGTACACCACATGAAATCACAGACTGACAGAAAATTAGAGACACTTATTTTAAATTCATGGAGACTACATTTTATGTTTAATCTGTGATAACAGGTCAAATTAAATGATTGAGTTAAACATGTTAACTTGTTGATGTGAATCAAAGGCAGTACATGTGTTTCTATGGTAGTGCACAATTGTTTATACATTTATATACCTGACATAAACCTTTAGAAATGATCAAGCAGGTAAACTAAATGATTGTATCATCACAAACTATGGATGTTTAACAGAGAGAGACTCCCTCTGGTGGATGTTGTGCAGTATTGTGTTGTATTTGCTCCAAAGGTTTTTGTACAGAGTGTAGGTGTTTCCTGTCACTGTGGGCCTCAGAGCACAGTAGTACACAGTAGAGTCTGTCTCTTTAGCTGAGATGATCTCCAGATCAACTCGTTTCTCTGTGTTGTCAATGTGAGCAGAGAAATCAGATTCAGTGGGATGGATCCCTCCTGCCTCTGTGATGGAGAGCAGGAACTCTGGTCTGGATCTCTGGTATTGTCGGTACCACTGGATATTGTAGATAGCCCCCTCATATTTACATGTCAGGCTGATGTTTCTGCCCTCTGCAACATGTTCTTCACTTCTTTCTGGCTTTATGCTGTTCATGGAGCCCAGGGCTGCAAAATGAGAATTATTCATGTCAGTTAGTCTGCAGGAGATTTTAACATTAAGAGACTCAACGGAGGGTCTTCAATTTCCTGTCATCTTTGATCAGTTTGAGATAAAACATGACCAAATGTCTTCATAGATCACAACGGTTGCTGCCTTACACAATCAAACCTCCAGTTATGAAATCTCTGGCTAATACAGCGGGTTAAATGAGACTTTATCTCTGTTCCAACACTCACCTATGAAGAGAGAGAAGAGTAACCAGAGGTAAAGCAACATGTCTTTGGAGATGGTAAAGTGGAACAGTCAGCAGATGAGTTCTCCTCCTGCAGAAGTGAAGCAGGAAACAGCCTCTCTGCTGCTCAGCCCTTCTCCTCAACATCAGATGATTGTGCTTTTAGTTCCTCAAACATCTCACAAATCATCTCATTGGTTGATATAAACGTCAGTGGGCGGGGCCAGAGAATCATGTTTTACTGGTTTTATAAAACGAAGTACCATCAAAGTACTTTTCTCATATTTAAAACATTTAGTTCTCTTTGTCTTTCTCACTGGGGGGGGAATTCAACTGATGAGAGAAGATGTAAAAGAATTCAAAGGTCAAATTACTCCTTTACAGCTAATAGGACCGTTACAGTGTATGACCCTGCACTTGACATTTTCAGTTTAATTAGAAGGCCCTGCAATGACAGCAAGGACTAAAGGTAGACCTATATTGGATAGTATAACTGTAGTTAGTTACAACATTAAGGGATTGCGAAATCCTATTAAGAGGAAAAAAATACTTTCTCAGTTTAAGGCTTTGAAATGTTCAATTGCAATGTTACAAGAGACCCATATGTCTGAAGTTGAGCATTTAAAGTTGAGGAGAGACTGGGTGGAACGGGTTTACAGTGCATCGTATAAGGGTGGGAGGAAGAGGGGGGTTGCGATCTTATTCAGTAGGTCTGTGTTCTTTACCAGTGAAAGAGTCATTCAGGACGAGGAAGGCAGATATGTCATGGTGATAGGCCCGATTGGGGAAGATAAATTCACATTTCTATATGTATATGCCCTGAATGAGGACTGTCCTTATTTTTTCAAGAAAATAGCTTCCAAATTGGCAGATGGGGTGGAGGGAACTATTGTGATAGGGGGGGACTTCAACTGTGTATTACATTTGAGCATGGACAGATTGCCTGCTAAGAAGGGACTCAGATCTAGGAAAACAACCACTGCCCTGGGGATGTTAGATGGACTGGGTTTGGTAGATGGACTGGGTTTGGTAGATGGACTGGGTTTGGTAGATGGACTGGGTTTGGTAGATGGACTGGGTTTGGTAGATGGACTGGGTTTGGTAGATGGACTGGGTTTGGTAGATGGACTGGGTTTGGTAGATGGACTGGGTTTGGTAGATGGACTGGGTTTGGTAAATGGACTGGGTTTGGTAGATGGACTGGGTTTGGTAGATGGACTGGGTTTGGTAGGACTGGGTTTGGTAGGACTGGGTTTGGTAGATGGACTGGGTTTGGTAGATGGACTGGGTTTGGTAGATGGACTGGGTTTGGTAGATGGACTGGGTTTGGTAGATGGACTGGGTTTGGTAGATGTCTGGGTTTGGTAGATGGACTGGGTTTGGTAGATGGACTGGGTTTGGTAGATGTCTGGGTTTGGTAGATGGACTGGGTTTGGTAGATGGACTGGGTTTGTTAGATGGACTGGGTTTGGTAAATGGACTGGGTTTGGTAGATGTCTGGGTTTGGTAGATGGACTGGGTTTTCGTAGATGTCTGGCGATGTCTCCATCCCAAAGATAAAGATTATACATACAGATCTCTAGTTCATGGGAGTTACTCTAGAATAGACATGTTTTGCCTATCTAAGGTTGACATGCATAGAGTAACAGAATGTAAGATAGAACCAATCACACTATCTGACCATGGCCCCATCACAATGAAAATGAACCTAGGTCAGGATAGACAATTCAGATATTGGAGGCTTAATGTCTCAATACTAAATGATCCCCTGATCCAACAGGAATTACGTGACGGCCTAAAGGAATATATTGATATAAATGATAATGGTGAGGTTACTCCTTCTATTTTATGGGATGGATCTAAAGCTGTAATGAGGGGAAAGATCATTCAAATTTCCTCTAGATTAAAAAAAACAAAGAGAGGCGAGGAGACTTAAATTAGAGATTGAAATAACTAGACTTGAAAGGGAACACAAAGTATCGAGGGACAGGGTCACACTGGATTTGCTAAAACATAAAAAACAAAAATGAGATGATCTACTTACCTATAAGGCAGAGGGAGCGCTTAGATTTGTAAAAAGAAAATATTATGAAATGGGTAATAGAGCGAGTAGGTTATTGGCCTTTCAACTACGCAAGGCTCAATCTAGCCGAGTGGTTTCTAAAATTAAACATCCAGACACAAAGAAAGTTACATCTCAGTCTAAAGAAATAGCAGAGGCATTTGCGGTGTATTACAAAAAGCTATATGAGGGCCAGGAGGTACAAGGGAAAGAGGATAAGATATCACGTCTCCTTGACTCGGTAGAATTAGACAAATTGTCACAGGAGGAGGCTGACATGATGTGCTCACCCATTACAGTAGAGGAAATAGTAGATAGTATTGGTAAGCTCAAGAATAACAGATCTCCCGGTATCGATGGGTACTCGGGGGAGTACTATAACGTTTTTGTGAATGAGTTGGCACCAGTCCTATGTCGGGTATATAATTATGCATTGGATGAAGGAGACCCACCGAAATCCTGGTCAGAGGCAATCATTACGGTTATTCATAAAGAAGGGAAGGACCCCACACAATGTATGGGTTATCGGCCCATAAGCCTTCTCTGTCAGGATTTTAAAATCCTGACCTCCATTCTGGCTAGTAGAATACAGAGGTGCATTAGGAAGCTAGTACACCCAGACCAAACGGGATTCATTGCTGGGCGCCATGGTACTAATAATGTTAGAAGAGCTCTCAATTTACAATCACTTGCCGCCGGGAGGAAAACCCCATCAATGCTTCTCCGTCTAGACGCTGAGAAGGCATTTGATAGATTACATTGGACATTTCTGCAGAGGACACTGTCACATATGGGCTTTGGTCAGACCTTTATTAACTGGGTCAAAGTGTTTTATAATAACCCAAGATCGAGAGTTAGAGTCAATGGCCACTGCTCGGATTTCTTTGCGTTGGGAAGGGGGACGAGGCAGGGAGATGCGTTATCCCCAGCCCTGTTTGCCCTTAGTATTGAACCTCTCGCAGAACTAATCAGGAGTAATCCTCATATACAGGGAATGAAAGATGAGGATGGGAATCAACATAAGGTGGGTCTATACGCGGACGACATAATATTGTTTCTGGAAAATCCAGAGTCCTCTGTCCGGGCCCTCCTACAAAATCTGGAAGAATATGGCCTGGTATCTGGATATAAAATGAATCCCACTAAGTCAGAGGCAATGATGATCTCTGGGACGTGGCCAAGTCAACTTGATAGTCCAGTGTCCTTTCACAGGTCTGGTCAGGGATTTCGATACTGAGGGATTGCACTCACCCCCAAAATAACACAGTTGTTCCAAGCTAATTATAAAAAGATATTTGAGGTGTTTAAAACTGACGTAACGAGATGGGATGTGCTGCCGTTGTCACTTTTGGGTAGAATAGAGGCTGTAAAAATGAATTTATTACCCAGACTTTTGTTTTTGTTCCAATCTCTGCCTATTTGGGTCCCGGCATCTGCCTTCAATATGTTGGATAAGCTTATATCTAAATGTATATGGCAGAATAAGAGGCCGAGGGTGAGATATAAAACACTTACTCTTGGGAAGGGCCAGGGCGGGCTCAACCTTCCTAACATAAAGCACTACTTTTGGGCGGCGCAATTAACAGCAGTGGTAGCCTGGATTCGCAATGACACAGAGACAGGATGGGTTAGTATAGAGCAGAG